TTTAGGGTGTTTTCACATTTTTGTGACAGTAAATTAAGCTGCAATAAACAGTCTAGTGCTGCTAAGTGTTCTTATGGTAAAAGAATTTTTTTCCTACAGGGTAGATGCCCAGTAATGGGATTGCAGGATCAAATGGGAGGTCTAGCTTAAGTTCTTTAGGTTCTCCATACTTCCTTCCAAAAAGGTTATATTAGTTTGCAGTCCTACCACCAGTGTAAAAGTGTTCCTTTCTCTCCACATCCATGCCAGCATCTGCAGTTTTGAGATTTTTGTGATGTGGGCCATTCTCACTGGGGTTAGATTATATCTCAGGGTGGTTTTGATTTGCATTTCTCTAATAATTAGGGACAATGAGCATTTTTTCATATGTTTGCTAGCCATTCGTCTGTCTTCTTTAGAGAAGGTTCTATTCATGTCTCTTGCCTATTCATATGTGGTATTGTTGGCTTTTTTCATGTGGATTAATTTGAGTTCTCTATAGATCCTAGTTATCAAGCTTTTTTGTCTGATTTGAAATATGCAAATATCCTTTCCCATTGTATAGGTTGTCTATTTGCTTTGGTTGTTGTCTCCTTAGCTGTACAGAAGCTTTTCAGTTTCATTAAGTCCCATTTGTTTATTTTTATTGTTGCAATTGCCCCGGAAGTCTTCTTCATAAAGTCTTTCCAGAAGCCAATATCTTCAAGTGTTTTTCCTATGCTTTCTTTCAGGATTTTTATCATTTGTTGCCTTAAATTTAGGTATTTTATCCATCTTAAATCAATTTTTGTAGTGGAGAAAGGTGGAGGTCCAGTTTCAGCAATTTACAAATGGATATCCTGTTCTGCCAGCACTATTTATTGAATAGGGATTATTTCCCCCAGTGTATATTCTTGTGGTTTATAGAAGATTAAGTGGCTGTAAGGTTTTAGTTTCATTTCCTGGTTTTCTATTCCATTCCAAATGTCTATGTCTCTATTTTTGTGCCAGTACCATGCTGTTTTGACCACTATGGCCTTGTAGTACAGCCTAAAGTCTGGTATGCTCATCCCCCTGGCTTTGTTTTTATTACTAAGAACTGCCTTAGCTATATGGGTTTTTTCCTGGTTCCATGCAAAAGGAAGAGTTATTTTTTCCAAGTCTTGAAAGTACAATGTTGGTATTTTAATAGGGATGGCATTGAATCTGCAGATTGCTTTGGGATGTATAGACATTATAACAATGTTGATAATGGCAACAGAGGACAACCTTGTGTGGTTTCAGTTCTAAGTGGAAAAGCTTTCCATTTAACTCCATTCAGTAAGATATTCACTGTAGGTTTGTCATAGATAGTTTTGATCAGTTTAAGAAATGTGCCACGTATGCCTAAACTCTTCAGTGTTCTAATTAGAAAAGGATGCTGGATTTTATCAAATGCTTTTTCTGCATCTATTGAGAGGATCATAAGGTCTTTGTTTTTGCTTCTGTTGATATGGTGAATAATGTTTATGGATTTGCGTATGTTAAACCAGCCTTACATCCCGGGGATGAAATCTACTTGATCCTGATGTACGACTTTTTTGATGATAAGCTGTAATCTATTGGCTAGGATTTTGTTGAGAATTTTTGCATCTATATTCATTAGTGAAACTGGTCTGAAGTTCTCCCTTTTCAATTGGGTCTTTTCCTATTTTTGGTATCAGGGTGATGTTTGCTTCATAGAATGTGTTGGAGAAGATTCCTTCCTTGCCAATTTTTTGGAATAATTTCTGCAGTATGGAAATAAGCTCTTCTTTGAAGGTTTGATAGAATTCTGATGTGAAGCCATCCAGACTAGGGCATTTATTTTGTTGGGAGATTTTTTATTGTTTCTTTGATCTCAGTGCTTGGAATTGGTCTGTTCAAGATATCTATTTCTTCCTGGCTAAATCTAAAGAGAGGGTATGATTCCAAATATTGATCTACTTCCTTCACATTGTCAAATTTCTGGGTATAGAGTTTCTTGTACTATTCAGAAATAATCTCTTGTATCTCTGTGGCATCTGTTGTTATTTCCCCTTTATTATTTCTGATTTCTGATGTTACTAGAGATTTTTACTTTTCTATTTCTAGTTTGTCTGGCTAAAGATTTATTTATTTTATTTATGTTTTTAAAAAAATCAACTCCTTGTTTCATTAATTTTCTGAACGATTCTTTTGTTTTCAATTTCATTAATCTCTGATTAAGTTTAAATATTTCTTTTCTTCTCCTGGTTTTAGGCTTAGATTGTTCTTCTTTTTCCAGTTCCATAAGATGGCTTATGAGTTTGTTGATGTGTCTTCCAACCCTTAACTCTGAGTTTTAATTTGCCTTTTGAGGTGGGGTGTGTTTCCTGCAGGCTGCAAATAGATGGCTTGTGTTTTTTTACCCAATCAGCCAATCTATGCCTCTTCACTGGGGAATTCAAGCCACTAACATTTATTGAGATAATTGATAAGTGTGGTAGCCTTCTATTCATCTTATTTTGTGCAATTCCACTGCTAAGTTTTATCTTTTGCATCATTGTGGATGTTAGGTGCTTATTTTGCTGGTGGTCCACCATTTTCTCTCTCTTTATTTCTCTGAAGAGTTACCAAAAGAATGTACAAAAACAAATATAAGAACATCATTAACTCCACAAGCATGGTAAAGAAGAAGTACTACAGAAAATGTAAAAATAGTGAAGTAAATGTCAAAAAATTCTAAACAAAGAGCAAAGAGGTAAATTCACTTAACAGGGAATAGTTATAAAATTTATAGACAATGCACATTGACTATTTGGATTAAAAATGGTTGTAGAAAAGAATAAATATGAAGCCAGTTTGGAGATCATAGTCTTAACAGAATCCTATCCTAAGCTGAAGAAAGACCAGAATGTCCATGTCACAGACACTTGCAATTTTTATGCAAGACACGTTGAGATATGGAAGAAAATTTTTATTTCTTTAATATTTTGTTTTATTTGGGGGTTTTTTTTGACATTTTGCTTGTTTCCTTGATATGTAAAAGTAAAGAATCCCATAAATACCAAAGCTTAATACAAACTATTAATAATAATTCATGCTACCTACAAAGAATAGAATTAGGTTGTTTAAAGAATTATTCTGTATGATATTGAACCCCAGTGGCTAAATGAACAATAATTATAAAGTTTTATAGTAACATAAATGGCCCTATAGTTTTTTTAATTATCCAATCTGTCCTTCACTTACCAAGGCAACTGAGAGGCATTCTCAGTCTTTGAACAAAGACTCAAAGGAATGCCAGCCATAATCTTTCTCAATCTTTTATGGCAAAGGAATGCTATTTAAAATGTATCTACATGACTTCGAATTACCTGCTTTTTCTACTAAACCCAATCTGCTTCCTGAAAAGATGAAAATAGAATGAAAATAGATGTTGGGGTAGGGGGTGTTGGTTAAGCAAAAACTGGAACTGAGTGGAAATGCGGTTAAATGGGCAGCTGGTGAGAAATCAGTGGGAGGCTGCTTAATTCCTTGTCAGGCAAGCTGGGTATTTTTATATTATAGTTTGACACTTTTTCCACATTTCAATTTGCATGCCTTTGGAAGAATTAATTTAATGAAAAAGCATATTTAATCATTCAAAGGAAGAAAAAAGCAATATTTATTTTTATTTCTCCATCTAAATATCACAGACACGGCAGTGGCTAGAATCCAGATGAATACTTTAAGTAAATAACACTGTAAATCTTTCAATAAATATGAGTTCTTTAGAACTTTAAGCCAAATAGTGTGGTTTTCAGAATTATATTACAGTTGGAGAGAAGTAACTCATTTTCCTTTGAGATGCTGGATAAGCTTTCACTTTATGCATTAATATTTCTCTGCTGCCCTGACATATTTCCTGGAGGTATTTGTTAGAACAACAACTATCAGTATACATAAGTTGTGTGTGTATGTGTATTTACTGCTTAATTTCATATACTCGCCCCCGAAGAAGTGGAGCGCCGCGGCCGCCGGAGATTTGTTGAAGATGAAAGTGACCTTATCAGCTTTGGATACTTATGAGACTTCTTTCACACCTTTGGTGGTCATAGAACTTGCTCAGGATGTCAAAGAAGAAACCAAAGAATGGCTGAAAAATAGAATTATTGCTAAAAAAAAAGATGGAGGTGCCCAGTTGTTGTTTAGACC